GGGGCAGCCACAGCCTCCCTGGGCAACCTGGGCCAGTGTCTCACCACCCTCACAGGGAAAAACATTTTCCTAAAATCTAACCTAAATTTCCCCTCCTTCAATTTGTCCCCATTGCCCCTTGTCCTGTCCCTGCAGCTCCTAACACAGAGTCCCTCTGCAGCTTCCCTGGAGCCCCTTCAGATATTGAGAAGGTGCTCTGCGGTGTCCACACAACCTTCTCTTCTCCAGGCTGAACAGCCCCAACTCCTTTGGATGCAGCCCAGGATTCCATTGGCTTTCTGGGCTTTATTATTATTTATTTATGTATTTATTATAATTGCCTAATTTCTATAAAGAAGACCCATAGTAAAAATGCTTTATTCTGCCTATATTGTAAATTCTCATTCTCAGTTTCCCTCTGTTTTTCAAGCTACTCTTTGTATGTTGCTTTTCACATGCATGTGCTAAAATTTGTGTCATCACTGTTCCTTCACCTGACCCTTTATAGTGAAGGAACTACCTCATATGTTCCAACTTCCCTGTTGCTTTTGTTGGCAGAGACTATTTTATTTCATGTTTGGTCTGAAGTCTTTGCTTTCTGCTTCTCCAGACTTTGTCAGGGGGTTTCTCTTAGAATAAACTGTTGCCTACAAAATGTGCTGCCTTGATTTAGACAAACTGAACCTTTTTTACAGAAGGCTGTAAAACTGGGTAGTTTAATTTTTCTGCCTCTCTTCCCTAAAGGAAAATTCCCTGGGAATCAGGTCTGTAGGTGATCATGCTGCCTGATAAATATATATATTAATCTCTGTCTTTGCCTCTTAATTCATAGAATCATAGAATCATAGAATTTAAGGGTTGGAATGGACCTTACAGATCATCTAGTCTCAACCCCCTGCTCTGGGCAGGGACACCTCCCACCAGAGCAGGTTGCTCAAGGCTCATCCAACCTGGCTGTGAACACTGCCAGGGTTGGGGCAGCCACAGCCTCCCTGAGCAAATTCCCTGGGAATCAGGTCTATAGGTGATCATCTCTGTCTCTTTCCCAATTATTTTTGAGCCTGTTGTCAAATGTGGTTAAAATTAAGACACTAAATAGAGGTTTTAAGATTTGAAACTCCTAGAAGCTTCAGAAAATGGTTGGAGGTGTAGGCAGTAGTAATTAGGTAAAATTTTGGTGAAAGGCTGAAAGAAAAAAAAAAAAGGCCTTTATCTGTTTTGTTTTGTTCTGCCTGTGCAGCAGCAAAGCAGCAGTTGTTTCTGGCCACCTTGTGTGACCAGACTGCAGCTTTGCTTGACTGGGAGGGCAAATGAGTAGGTAGCACAAGTGAATGAAAGTCTGGGTAGTGTGGGCACAAGTGGTGACTGGAACAGAGGGTGAAGGGAGAGGAAAATGGTAGTGGGAAGGGAATTTATTGTGGATATACCCATAGTTTTGATAGTCTTTACCCTATGCATATATCCATAGGAAACTTGAATTTATTAGTTCCAAAAATGATGAGACACATCTATTTAGGCAATAATTCTAAATTCTTTTCAGTGTCTGTGCATAGAATTTAGGAAATTCACAAATAACATGGCCTTAGCCTAGAAAGTAATACTCCTCAGCACACTGAGTTTACTGGTGCTTACTTCAGGAGCAGCATTTGCTCTGTGCAAAGCTTATATCTCTGTCTTAAACTTCATTAGAATATTACAAAATTATCCATGTTAGCTCATCATCCTTCCAGCTGAAATGTTTAGGTATGTGATATATGATGGATTATATTGGAATGAGGTTATTCCACTGCAGTTTTTGTGGTTGTTGGTTTGTTTGTTTGTTGCTGGTTGCTTTTTCTTGGAATCAGCCAGGTTGGAAAAGACCTCCAAAGTCATCAAGTCCAACCTACTGTGGTTACTAGACCATGGCACTAAGTGCCACATCTAGGCTCATCTTAAAAACCTCCAGGGACAGTGAATTTCTTAATATGCTTTCTGTATGTTTTCAATACAAAGGGATGTTTAATACTAAGAGAATTCTCTTTGTAGCAAATGGTGTGCCTGGTGCAGGATGGGAACTAAAATTAGATCATCTCAAATCTGTTGGTTCTGAAATTTCTAACACATACAAAAAATGAGCTATTCTACCTACTTGGACATAAACAGGATGGACTTCAATCCCTTAGGTTTCAGGTAAGCAAAATAAAAGCACTACCTTCTTGCACTGGACACACTGCATGGCAAACTGCTTTTCATAGCAGGGTACACAAAAGTTTTGATTGTCCTTAGGGATGAAGCTCTTTGTCCCAATGGGCTGTTGGCAGCGGTAGCAGATGAAGCAGGTCTCGTGCCAGCTGTTGCCCTTGTATTCCATCTTCCGAGTACCTGTAGTGAGAACAGAGCATCAAATGAACTTCTTCTGGATGAGATGGATGAAACTGGTGGCACTTGTTTGCCTGGCAGCTGGCTGTCAGTCAATCAGCAGTGCAGCTATTATCTAGAAGCTGTTTCATGTTCCTATCAGGTTGGCATGGTATTGGGTACCATTTGAAGTTTTTGGAGAGCAAGTGGTTCTTCTCCTCCTGTGAAGAATAGGAACATTTATTGCTAATAATGATGTTGGCAATCCTTAGGCTAGGTATTAGGAAATGGTTTTTCCCCCAGAGGTGTTTGGGCACTGAACAGCTCCCAGGGCAGTGGGCACAGCCCCAAGGCTGACAGAGCTCCAGAGGTGTTTGGCCAATGCTCTCAGGCACAGGGTGTGATTGTCAGGGATGTCCTGTGCAGGACCAGATGAACCTCAAGGCTCCCTTCCAACTCTGATTATTCTGTGACTCTATGCCCTAGAACAACTTTTTGTGGTATTATTAGGCTAATAATGAATTCTAATGCACAAGAAGATTCGGGAGAATTGGAGAGACACCAAGAAAAGCTGTTGCTAGTGCTGAGTGAAGGTAAGGCCATTGCTCATTAAAGGTTGACTTCATTCATTCCAAGTCTGTTTTGTTTCTTTTTCAGACAGCAGCAAGATACCTGGTTAATTGCTGAATCATAGAATGGTTTGGGTTGGAAAAGATCCTTAAGATCATCTGGTTCCAACCCCCTGCCATGGACAGGGACAGCTCTCACTAGGCCAACTTGCTCAAACACCTTTCAAACTGGCCTTGAACACTGCCAGGGATGAGGCATCCAATTCCTGACAAACTTATTCCCTCTCTTTCCCAATAAAGTGTAGTCACTGTCTGAGACAATAGATTCTTTCATATCTTCTCTAGGGTCTTTCCCCTGACCTTATTCAGGTCTACTATAAGTTTGCAATTGTTTTCAGCTCAGCAACACCTATCCTAATGTTTTCCTCTCTCTTTAAACTTACAGTAAGAAAGAAATTTTCTCTTCAGTTATATTGAAGACATAGTTGTAATGTGAAAGGGATATAAATCTGTAAACAATCCTTCACTGAAGAGCAGAAAAGTGATATGGTAGGAAATGACTGTACTTCTCTAGAAGGAAGTTTTAGGGTGCAGATATTGTGCTTTGCAGACTCAGTCCACTGTGTGACAGGTGGACTCTGAGCCCTCCTGGGAAATTTGAGATGGTCTGTTATAAGGACAAATTTGCTCACTGTATGACTTCCTGTGTACCAGTTTGAGTCAGAGTATTTGATACTGGGCAGAAGGATAAACAAACAGATGTTGTTCCTACATTTCTGCATCACTTTTGAAGCCTGTAACGACAAACATGATGTTGAATGCTTGGAAGATCAACAAGCTGATCATGTTGGCTAATGATGAAGAACCACACTAAAGCCTTTGATGCCAACTCTCCCCACCCTCATTTCTGCAGGGTGAAGTTTTACCTTTTCCCTTCCCAAGCATTAATTAATCCTTGTTTACTAGTTGCATATTCTCCTTTTCCTTTTATGGTCTCATTAAATTATGCCCAGAGGCAAATTTGGTGTTTTCCTCTTTTAAGAGTTGACTTGCAGCTGTAGTAAGTGATTTTTCTGCCTGATGCTTACATACTTGAGTATTTTTGTTCCATTTTATTAATGGACACCTTCTAAGAATTATGCCTTCTCTGTGCTGGTAACTTTCTATATCATGCCAAGGAGCTAATAAATCAGTCCTTGAGGGAATGATGTTCTAGAAAAAAAGAGATGTGTATGATTTTTATTAATGGTCTAGGACTCTACTTTCACATTTTCAGCTATTCTCTCTTTGGGATTGTGTTGTCATTGAAACCCAAGGCAGGGGGAGCCCTGTTTGTTAGCTTCTGGACTGAAGTCGGCTTGAGTTTAGTTTGCAGAAGGACTGAAAGATTAAGCTTGTAATTACTTTGGTATTTAATGGGCATGTCATGATAATGCTTCATTAAATCTAAATTGTACACTTAGTGGAGCAAAGCAAAGGGCAAATGCAGCATTAACAGTCTCCACAAAGAGTATCCACCAAGTCCTTTTCTGACCAACAAAATTTTCAAGAGTAATCCATTTCATGTGAGTAACAGTTCTGTCATGTTCCATTATGAACATTACATGTTCTGGTCATGGAAATGACTTAGAATATACCATGAACTGTATTTTACATAGATCACCATGACTTAGCAGGGATAGTCAAGGAAAAACATTTGTCACAAGTGTTGCTGAGTTTGGGTTTGATATTTAGCCAAATCTTTCCTTAGTCCAAAAAGTGAACATCCTTACCTGGCATAATAGTCTTCTTGCACTCATTACATTTGGAAGAGTATTCATTGGAGTAGCAGTCTGTACAAAGCAGGTGTTCCTCCTTTGCAGCAAAAGGTTTGTCCACCAGTGAATTCTTGCACTGGAAGCAGTGGAAGCAGGTTTCATGCCAGTGCCGTTCCTTGTAAGACAGATCCTGTAGAAATCCAAAACCACAGAATAAGTGGAATGAATAGTTTGCACAACTGGAAGCTCAGAGAATGCAAACACATCCAAACCTGAACTGCAGCCAGGAGCTAGGGCTAATTTGCACAGCTCAAGAAAACAAAATGTGCTGATGAAGGTGAAATTATTTTGCTGTGATAACCAAGAACAGCTCATGATAACTATTGACCCTTTTTCAGTTCAAGGTAATATTTTTTGTATGTGGCAGAGGAACAACTGGTTTCATTTAGGTATTTCCTTTGAGAATAAAGGACCATGTCTGAGTCAGATTAAAACTTGCAAACCTTATAGGTATGATAATCTTCCCCTATATATCTTAACTATTGCTGATTGATGGTCATTCCATAGATATTCTCTCCTGAACAGAAATATTTTTCCCAATTGCTTTCTGGTATTTATTCAGTTCAACATATTTACACCAAGGATGGAATTGGTCTGATCTCTTTGTTGTTTGTTTTTTTCATTACAACAAATTTTTATTGACTCTTGTGGTTTTGTTTACCTATGTTGCAGATGTGGATCGAACTGGAAGGTGGAAAACCACTTTGTGCCTACAGCCAGTGAGCCAGGACACTGGCCAAGGGATTAGCATGGGCATGCAAATATTTTAAATGCTCTTCACAGTTGTCTTTTTATTATTTTTTCAAAAAAAACCCACAGTCCTTCTAAAAAAGTGTCACCTAAAGGGATGGATTATATCTTTTAAAATTTAAATCAAGGTGGGCTAATCATGCAACACTCGAACAGTGTCTTTGGGCTACAAACAAAACTGGGAGCTTGGATCATTATAAGAAAAGGTGTCTACCCCAAAATATAGAATCATAGAACCATCAAGGTTGGAGGAGACCTCTAGGATCATCAAGTCCAGTCATTAACCTGTCACTGCTGGAACTCCTAAACCCTAAACCAGATCCTCCAGTGCCAGATCCAGATGTCTCTTCAACACCTCCAGGGATGGTGACTCCACCACCTCCCTGGGCAATATCCCAGTGCCTCAACACCCTCACAGGGAAAACATTTCTCCTCACATCCAATCTGACTCTGCCCTGGCTCAGTTTATGACCATTCCCCTTGGTCCTCTCTTAAATCTCTGCAACAATTAGTACCCAATGTGCCTTTTATCTCTGAGATTGCACTCTGTGATATCTAATTCTCCTACTTTACAGCTTTCAGGCAGTTGTTTATTCAGCTCATCTATTCATTTCAGCACAAATTTCTGACTGTCAATTTTTAATCTTTTCTAATAGTGAATGGGAAACAATCTGCTTTGGAACTCATTCACATTTTTTTCCCTTTAAATGAAGCTGAATGACCTAAATTTCATCTCAAATTATATTTTCAACAGAAAAATACAATATACAGCCAACAACATTTTCCAAAATGTGAAATTTGCCTGCTAGAAAGTAGAATGACAATAGATCTGGTTTTCTTTCTCTTGTAACATGATGTATACCATTTTTTCCCCACCTGCTGCCTTTGTTCTCTTTTTACAATTTTCTGCAAGTTATTTTTTTGATTCCAAAATTCATCTGCTGATGTCTGCTTATTTTATCAATAAAATTGTACCCTGGAGAAGGTGTATGCCTTTTAGAAGAGGAGCAATGAAGACAAGGATTAGGTGTCAATGATCAAAGACTTGATCCTTGAGTCAGTTATGATGGCAGAATGTAGACACAATAGTTGGGTAGGTGAAAGTAGCAGATGTTTCATCATGGCAAAGTGATGATGCACAACTACAACACAAAGTACTCAAGATGAAGAGTGGACTGAATAATCTTTAGCTACTTGGGATTACTATAACAGGTATTGTAATTGAGTGTAGAGAGAGTCTAAAACATCTGGCTTTGACATGCCTACAGCAGAATATTACACTGATGAAATGGATTTTGCTTTCTCTCTCTGAACCTGTCACATCTGAGAACAAGGTACTGATGAAACCATTTATGCATCATGATTGTTTTTAAGTCAGTGTGATAAAGGCACTGAAAAGGAGGTTTGGTCTACTCCAGTGTATTGTGTATATCACTGGAGCCTTTGGCTTATCCATGAGCTGTGGATGTATTGATCTGAAGCAGATTCTGCACTGCAGAAGTTGCATGTGCAAAACTCACTTCAGGCTTGTCTGAATGTCAGTCTGGCCCTCAGTTAAGCTGAAAGAGCCTTAGTTTTAGTCTAGGCATGTGAGCTCTAGTTTATGCTATCTGTTTGTAACCCAAATAAATCTGTTCCAGCAGAAGGTACAAGTGATGTACAACTCATTCCTGTTTATTGCACAGATTACCAGGAAGAACTAAACCAGAAAATTACTACTGTAGACTCATAACTGGAGTATATCCTTCAAATATTGATAAGCATTACTCCTCAGCTGTTTTATGCAGCTCAAAGGGAAATGTGTCCCTGGTGTCACATATTTTCAGTGCAGCTTTTAATGCAACCTCCTATGTTGCCTAAAAGAAATATAGACTGACTCTTTTTGCCATCATCTGTGCCTTTAGGAAAACTGAATGCCATGTGTTAGAGGAAGCAGCAAAAACACAGGTAACAGACTTGTTAGATAAAGCACAGACCAGAGACTGAGGAATTGCCACAGACTGACATTTGGGAAGTGGAACGGGAGATGGATACACACAGATCCTTCTAGACATGGTCTGCCCTGGACAAGTGTTTTGCAGCTGAAGTGCAGAGAGCACCAAACCTGTTCCAGATGTGCTACTAGTGAAAAGGGAAAGGGAAGAGGACAATGCCTGTCTCTGCAGAGCTGCAATAAATCCTGTAGCAGAATTTCCAGGGAGAACTGTTTAGCCCTTCATTCAGTGACGTTTCCTCTGAATATGGAAAATAATCCTTCCCTTACATGGTTTCATTTGAATATATAAAATTAACCAAATTAGCAATCCCTGAAACTACTCAAATTTGAACAGGCTCTTTTCTCAGCATGGTCTGAGAATCAACCTCAGCTGAAAATTTCATTTCAGGGTTCCTTGGCACAACAAAATGAACAATGATTGTTTCTCAAATAGACATCAGAGAGTGAGCCAAGTGGAGCTCCTTTGTGCACTCTCAGAATGTGGTGCAAACAAAATTTACTGCAGATCCTATTTGTATCCAAATCTTTTTACAGTCAGGCCATGGAAAATGGGTTTGAAACTTATGGCTTTGAAAAGTCATTATGTGCTTTTACAGCAATTTTGTTTTCACTTGTTTTCATTACGTGACCCACAAAGAAAACTTTGACAAGATAACTGCTCTGAACATTGGCAAGATCATGTTTTAGAGCTTCCCCATAGCTCTGTATTGTTTTGTTCCAGCATGGTTTATTTGGTCTCTAGGATGGGAGTGTAGGTGACTTTTTTAAACTAGAAACCCCCAAGACTAGAGTTACCAGGTAACAGAGTTAAGCTTAGGCTCCTCATACCCTGCATCTAGATTGTCTTCTACTCTGGATGTTCAAGTCCAAGTAAACTGAAGTCATTATGCATTACTGTTTCTCCTGAACTGGCTTTCAACGGGGACCCAAGAGGAAAGAGCGGATTAGAGAGCTTATTGCCATATATGTTGTTCATGAATGAAGACTACACTTTTTGCCTGCTGCAATGCTCTTTTCAGAAGGTTGAGTGGAGGAAATGGGGTAAGCCAACCAAATGCTGTGCAGATTTTAGCTGTGCATACCCTGCAGCAAAACACTTAAGTATGTTAGACTGGCACATACCTATCAAAAGTGTGCTAAGAAAAGGTAAAACCAAACAATATTATGCTGAATTCAGCCCCTCAGGGCTATGAGAAGATACTAAGGTATCTGCCTCTTTTGGCATTCCACTTTCCAGCACTTAGTCTGGGATTCATAGAATCATACAACCATCAAGGTTGGAGGAGACCTCTAGGATCATCCAGTCCAACCATTAACCTGTCACTGCTGTGTAAACCCTAAACCAGATCCTCCAGTGTCAGATCCAGATGCCTCTTCAACACTCCCAGGGATGGTGACTCCACCACCTCCCTGGGCAATATCCCAGTGCCTCAACACCCTCACAGGGAAAACATTTCTCCTCACATCCAATCTGACTCTGCCCTGGCTCAGCTCAAGGCCATTCCCTCTAGTCCTCTCCCTGCAGCCATGGCAGGACACACATCCCCCACCTCTCTCCAACCCTGGCAGGGAGTTGCAGAGAGCCAGGAGGTCACCCCTGAGCCTCTTCTCCAGGCTAAACAAACCCAACTCCCTCAGCCCTTCCTCATCCCACAAGTAATGCACTGAAATGCATTAGTAATGCACTGAAAAAGTGTTGCAAGTCAAGAGAGGGTTTAAACATTAAAAATAATAAAAACAGATTTTATCCCTTTCCCGATCCATGTTGCTAAAAGTTTTCCTCTTTGTTTAGTTTATGTGTAGGACTGACCCTTTTGACTCATTTTTGGCCTGTGTGCTGACACAGTAGCTTTATCTGACAATCCACTCTTAATTTAATTCTCACATTTTGCAGAGAGAGTTTCCACCTCCTCCTGCCTGCCAAGACCAACTTGTGGACTGCATTAAACCCTGGATTACTGTAGGTATTTCCTGTGTTTGCAATGGTTTCTATACCATAGGATCTGCAAGGAAAGTATTAAAGAAGCCAAAGTCAACCAAAAGTCACACTTCAGCAGTTAAGGAAATGGGAACATAATGGATGGATTTCCAGAGAGAAGCATGAAACTGTGTGATGAGGATTCACCAGGGATGTAGGCGACAAAATGCCAATTCATTTTAGAACGTGGAAATTTTGACTAAAACCTGTTGGGATACAGATAATATTTAATAGCTGCAAGAGAAATGGCATCATGTTTTTCTGCTGCCTGCCAGTGCCTCCTACCACTCAGTATATGAAGCTTTTAATCTGTCTATGAAGCTTTCATAAACATCAGCTAGAAGTGTTTACAATTAATGAAATGGCCTAAGTCCAAAGGTGTCATTCAGACACACATTGTCATTCTGGGCTTTTTTTGGTGGAAAAAGTCTGTTCTTTTACAATAAAGAACAAATTAGTTATTGCTCAGATACATTTACCTTAAAAACCAGAAAAATAGTGAAGCAAATTCTCTCCTGAATTGAAGTCAAGGAAAGCTTCACTTCAGCATAGTCATCTCATGGGCTCTGTGCCATGGCTAAAACACAAGGTGAAAATCCTCTCAGATTCCAGTGCTGTCAGAACTGGAGTATTACCAGTGTCTGGGAGGCTTAAATTCAACTCAGCTGAGTTGATTCTGTGCACAAGTGCTGAGAGCAATGATGACTAAGGGAGTGGAGCACCTCAATGATGAGGAAAGGCTGAGGGAGTTGGGGCTGTTCAGTCTCCAGAAGAGACAACTGTGAGGGACCTCAGTAATGGATTCAAGTACGTGAGCACGAAGTGCTAAGAGGATGGATCAGACTCTACTCAGTGGGGGAAACCAATAAAACAAGAGGGAACAGCAAAAACTGATGCCCAGGAAGTTCCACCTGAACACAAGGAAGAACTTTCCTGTGCAGTCACTGAGCACTGAACAGATTGCCCAGAGAGGTCGTGGATTCTCCCTCACTGGAGATATTCCAGACCCATCTGGACACAACCCTGAGCCATGTGCTCTAGGGTGGCCCTGCTGGAGTAGGAGGTTGGACCAGATGACCCACTGTGGTCCCTTCCAACCTCACTGATTCTGGGATACACTGCAGTGGTGTCAGACATACAGAGCTGTCTGTCCTCTTGCCAACACCTGGTTTACTCTGGTGTAACCCTGTCAGCTATGGGAGAGCTGCTTTTAATTGGGAGAGCTGGAAGGAGGGAAATTAAGAGCATCTGGTCCTCAGTGCAGCTTTTCTCAGTGTAGAGAAACAGTGGTGGTGAAGAAGGGACTTGCAAAGGATCTGAGGTGAGAGCTCTGTGAAGCCTTTCAGGTTGTAATGTGGATTTGAGCATGGGCACCCCTGGCAGATGCAAAGCCCCAGATGTGACCTTTTCTGTTAACACTGTCTGCATCAGGTTTTAGTCCCAACTTTTACATCTCTAGGCTATGTCAGAACATACAAATAAATATGAAGTCCATTTTGTACCTGCAGTAAACATATGAGTTTCACTCCCAAACACAACACAACTTATCTTCTTTGTTCAGGGGTAAAAGTAAATGCAGAGTATAAAAACATCTACATCTATATATAAATACACATGTATATGTCTGTGTGTTCAAATTTCTTATGAGTTTATATGCCTATCTATACATACAGTTTAATGAGGAGCAGACACTTGATTTTTTGGTGCCTTTGTGTTTCATGGCTGAATTATGGTCAGTCCTACAGTGCACACACTTCATCTGAAACTTATCTTGTGGCTGAGGCTCTTATAAGGGCTGTCTCAAATGTGATCTCTAGTGTCTAATACTACCATTGAAAAACTCCTGTAGTTTTCTTCTCATTGGGATCTTTTTTTCAACCCAACCACATGATTTGGTTGTTCTTTTTCAGAAAACTTGTAGGAATTTAAATTACCACTTTTATACATCCGTGAGATTTTGGTTGCAATTGGGCAACGGGTTCAAAAGCTGCAGCATAAAGCATGGACAGGCACAACCAGCAGTCACAGAAACAAAAAGGGACATGTTTGTTTCTGGCATGATTTATAACTCTCTAAGAAATCTCTATTTGCTATCTTGTAGTTGTGTTTTCTTTTTTTTCAATATTCTTTTATTGCAGACAATTGGGTGGTTTTTTTCCATCTGCTATTAGAGTGTCTTGCTTAAAAGTAAAAAAAAAAAAGCAATATATCAGATAACACCCACACTCCCTAAATCCATAAATCTGGGTTGAAAAGTTCAGCCTGATTAATTCCTGAATACTTTGACCAAGATTTGTTGAAGCTGGTCCAAGTTTTTAAATTCTTGAATATCAACACATGGAAATATCTTCTCAGGGGATTAGAAAGAGACTTTAAAACAAAAGCACATTCTGGAAAGGGGCAGAAATATTTTGCTTTTTCAGGTCAGGTCAGTCATATCTCTTCTCTAATCTGAATATTTATGAGCTGTAGGAAAGCTGGCAATTTTATACACTATTACAGACTATTGCCAATTCCCTGTCAGGACAGTGAAACATTCTCACCTTTTGAAGGCTTTTGAAAGGGTCTTTCCTACTTCGGGGGGATGTGTGTCCTGCCATGGCTGCAGGGAGAGGACTAGAGGGAATGGCCTTGAGCTGAGCCAGGGCAGAGTCAGATTGGATGTGAGGAGAAATGTTTTCCCTGTGAGGATGTTCAGGCACTGGGATATTGCCCAGGGAGGTGGTGGAGTCACCATCCCTGGAAGTGTTGAAGAGGCATCTGGATCTGACACTGGAGGATCTGATTTAGGGTTTAGAGGTTCCAGCAGTTACAAGTTAATGGTTGGAATCGATGTTCTTAGAGGTCTCCTCCAACTTTGATGATTGTATGATTCCTACTGGAATAGGGTGGCACGGATCTATTTGGAAGATATGAGACATTTATTTTCCCCCATCTGACTAAATATATATATTTTATATCTCTGAATTAGTGATAGATTGGTAATAACTGTAACAGGGACTAACTGGTGCTTCTAGAGAAATGGATCAGCAATGCAGAAAATCAAACATCAGACCTCCTTGTACGAGTCAAGAATCCCATGGCCATGCAATGCAAATCTCACTCTGTCAGTGAACCTCTTGGCCAACTTTGAACAGAGTTCTGGAGGATTTGCCAAGTGAAGTGACAAAAAACCAGATACAAGAGTCCAGAAAACATGCTCTCCCAGCAAATGAACCTCCCTCCATGTAGCTGTTAAGTTGGATCCTTCCAGGTGCTAGCCCCTGTCTCAGAGCTCTGTATCTAGGCTACTCTGCCAAGGTGTCACAAGACACAAATCTGACATACCTTGCAGTCAGCACCAATAGGTTTTTTGCATTCCTCACAGGTGTTGGAATAAAGGTTCTCATAGCATTTCACACAGTAGGGGCTGTCTTCCTTCAGGATGTACTTCTTACCAAACAGGGACTCTTTGCAGTAGTGGCAGTCGAAGCGTTCAGTCATGTTGGTGTCTGGAGTTCAGCTATCCTGTCACAACGACAGAAACAGGCACATATCAGGCTGAGCTACACTTGACCCAGTCTCCCAGCAAAGGCTGATCAATTCTTGTTTATCACACTGTACCTCAATTTTAATCCAACTTTCAGACAGATAAATGAACACAATAGGAAAAAACAGACTATGTATTTTGCAGTGTTGAACAATGACAATAACCCATCTACTTTGGGCTGGACTCAATGATCTTAGAGGTCTCCTCCAACCTCTATGATTCTATGATACTTTAGCCATCCACTGACCCATCTTTGACCAGAGCTAGTGTTAGTAGAAAGAGGATGGAGTAGATCCTGAGACTGAAGAATTCCCATGGAATTTATGACTGGGATTTGACCGATAGGTCCAAAGCAAGAAGATGTCTCTGTAGGGGATGTAGGGAGCCAAGTACATTAAGAGGATGAACCAACTATTCTTCAAAAGCAACATCTCCTCCATAAGACAAGACAAGGGTTTGCATTGCTAGTAGACTTTAGTCATGCACAGGCTATTGGGCACTCTGTTAAGTGCCTCTGCACCTTTCTTGTCTGCACTCTCAGCAAGTCAGTGTCTGGCAATCATTGTCCTACAGGGACACACCAACACTCCATTTCTGCTCATGCATGGGACAGTAAGCACCTTTAACAGCAGGAGGTGTAGGGTTGGTGATTGTATATCTGATTCTTCTCTGATGCAATGGAATGAGTTAACCAACAGCTGTAGGTACTGGGACACACGAGAGCTAGCTGGAGTTTCACTGGAGTCATCAGTTTTTTTCTTAACCTGAGGCTGGCAGCATGTGTTGCACTTGAAATCTGTTTGGAGGTTACAGCTGGAGCAGGGCATAGCTGCCTACTTAGGAAAGGGAATTTCCCAAGCAGAAAGCACATGCCACCTGGACTGCATGATCTTCACTGCCTGCCAGGCCTCATCTCCTCTTTAAGCCACATTTGATCTATAAATCCTTAAATGTTTTGAGTACTAATGGCTTAAGTGGCTACCTCTGTCTTTCATGCACTAGTGACATTTACAGCAGCTGCAGTCCTTCTGCCAACTTCTGCTCTCCCTTTTAAACAAAATGTTGTTACTTGTTTAGTGTTCTTGGCACAGGTTGTTTGATTCTGGAGTTTGTCTTCTCCTTCTGGCAGCAGGAGTCACCCACAGGGCATTCTGAAACCCTGAGCTCTCCTCCAGGATTTCAGTTTTCATTCTTATCCTAGAATCACAGAATTTTAGGGGTTGGAATGGACCTTAGAGATCATCTAGTCCCATCTGCCCCTGCCCTGGGCAGGGACACCTCCCACCAGAGCAGGTTGCTCAAGGCTCATCCAACCTGGCTGTGAACACTGCCAGGGTTGGGGCAGCCACAGCCTCCCTGGGCAACCTGGGACAGTGTCTCACCACCCTCACAGGAAAACACCTTTTCTGAATATCTAACCTAAATTTCCCCTCCTTCAATTTGTACCCATTGCCCCTTGTCCTGTCCCTGCAGCTCCTAACACAGAGTCCCTCTGCAGCTTCCCTGGCACCCCTTCAGGTGTTGAAAAGTTACTCTGAGGTCTCCATGCAGTCTTCTTTTCTCCAGGCTGAACAGCCCCACATTCCTCAGCCTGTTTTCATAGGGGAGATGCTCCAGTCCTCTCATCAACTATGTGTCCTCCTCTGGACTTGCTCCATGTCCTTTGTTCAAATAGTCTGTATTTAAGACAGAAATCTGTACTTTTTACCAGACTTTATTAGTTTGGTTTTTTTTTCTGAATGATAGGATTTACTTGTGCATTTAATGTGTATTATTGCTAAGTTAAAGTGTGAGCAGAAACCACTTAGGAACTTGAATTTGTCACCTTTCTTCACTCTTAGTTCTTTCTAGCCCTGAATTAGATGTATGATCTCATGATCAACTGTCTGATATTTTGAGGATATTTTACAGGCTTTTTTTCTGCTCTGGAGAGAATTAAGTGTAAAATAATCATGGGGCCTGTCTACTAAAATTTGCCAGGAATTTAAACCAAATCATTTCATTGTTTTCTTGCAATCAAGAAATGTGAAGTCATGCTCAGTGCTCATACACTGAGCAATGTTTTTGCCTTTCCCTTTGTCCACATGGTCCTTTTCATTGCCAGTCCATTGATTCCCATCATATAGAAGCCCCTAATGCTTAGCTCAGCATAGGGTTTATGCACTGCTTTGAGCTTTAATGGAACAAACAAAGACCAAGAGACTTGCAGAGCTGTGATGGACACAAATTGCAATCCAAACTCCTTGCCATTATCTATTTCTTCCTCCTGTGTTTGATACTTGTTGGCTGTAAAGCTTTGTGGGCCAGACATTATTACACCTCTTTGTGGTACAACAAGGTCTTTAGATTTTATCACAGTAGACATTCTATACTCATGCTTTTTTCACATTGCTCTCCACATTATCATGAAGGAGAAATTGATTTTTCTGCCATGCAGTCTCCCTCCTACAACATCAGACACAACAAGTGCTTCTCCAAAATGAAAATCACTTCCTTTTACATGCCCAGAAGTTGCAGCTTATGCCAAATGTTAGCACTACCCACATTGTGTCTTCCAGGAAGAAAGAATTGGCAGGGAAATTACCAAATAGTTAATGGGCTGACTTAAAATTTATGGTTCTTTCCTCTTTTTCCCCTGTTGGCTCAGTCTTCATTTTACTAGCAGTAAATGCAGAAGTTTTCATATCCTCTCATAAAAATTAGGGTTCATCATGTCATTAAGAAATCATTTGCTGTTCCTCCATCCCATTATACTATTGACACCTGAAAATTCAGACCTTTCCTGCTTTCCCAACTACGTGATGTTCTGTTCATCTCTTATTTCACCCCTCCTAGGTTGTGTTGAACACTGAGAGGTGCACACACACACACACAAGAGAGAAAGAAGCCAAGGGAAACTGTCTAAAACATGTAGGAGTTGTTTAGTTTATGCAGTGACACTCTGATCTTTTGTTGTAACAGTATCTGGTGACACAGAATTAAGCCCCTGTAAAAGCCAAAGAGTGACTTGCTGCTGACCTCAATTAGGTCAATAGGTCTGGGGCTCTACCTACAGGATGTTCTGTTAGTGACCTGCACAGGAAATAAAAGGTCTTTGGAGACACCCATCCCCCTCCAAGATGTACACATATTTCTCCCACCTGACTATTTTTCCAGAAGAACTTTGCACACGGAGAATTTTCTATCTGTTTATTTCCCTTCCCCTGAGAAAGGAAGATTTGTGTCTGGCAACTCCAGTGACATGAGCCATACAGGTCTAGAGCATTTGGAAACAATTTATGTTTATGCTCCAAAGACTAAAATGCAAAGATTTATTTACAGCTATGAACTAGCAGTTCAAACTATGATGGTCTTTCTGGCAAGAAGTGATTGTTTTCTTGTAACTTAGACACTCTTGCCATATTCAGTACCTATCATCTCACTGTAGCAACAGCAAAACCCTCTCTGAAGACCTAAGCATTTTTCCAAAACAGGCCATAAGGAAAGGGAGAGATTGGAAAGAGGGGAAGGGGGAAACCTAATATTATTTCTCTTTAATTTACTTTGAGAAAAGAAGAAATGACCATTTGCCTGTAGTACTGACAAGAGGTTGGGAGGAAAAATGTGACATATGGTCAGAATGCACCTGAACCACAGTGTGTGGAAGTTAGCTGGTGGAGATGCACACCACGATCACCCAAAGAAGTCCTGTGTGTTTAGAGTCTGTAAAATGGATTAAGGGGTGGTAGCTCTCTTTCTTTGGCTGTCCAGGTGTAGTGTATCCTCTTCTTCATGGAATGAGTGCCCACAAACATTGCTATGACAGAGCAGAGGGAGAGCAAAGGGAACCTGAGTGCTTGGAGGTCTTGCTGGCCATAGGACAGGTGTTGCTGCATTGAATTTCTTGGATCCCTGACCCTCCAGCAGTGTGCTCCTGGCCATGAGGAGACAAAACAGCTGATACAAAAAAGGCAAGTCTCCCTCCATGGGCCACAGAAGGACATTTGCTTCCTTATGCTAAAGATGGTCAATGCAAAATCTAACCAGGAGATGAGAGGCAAGTGTTGCACAGCTCATCCTCTGGGAAGCACAGCCAGCCACTCTTCCCTTCCATAGACCCTCTGACCCTGCCAGTGGCTTCACTGCTGAGTGAAGGTGCACTTTGCGAGTAAAGACAGGAAAAGGACAATACATTTACAAGGATATTGAGACACTAAAGCTTGTTACGATGTTGTTCATACCAGCATCTTTGTGTAGGTCCTTCAAAAAGGGAGGCATGTCACTGCAGGGAACACGTTGTGTAACTTTGTGTCTCATGATCTGGGGTTTATGCCTAGCTTGTAAATGAGACATGGATGCTTAGGCAGATGTGGCTGCATTCATAGAATCATAGAATCATAGAATTTAAGGGTTGGAATGGACCTTACAGATAATCTAGTTCCGACCCCTGCCCTGGGCAGGGACACCTCCTCACTAGATCAGGTTGCTCAAGGCTCATCCAATCTGGTCTTGAACACTGCCAGGGTTGGGGCAGCCACAGCCTCCCTGGGCAACTTGTGCCAGTGTCTCACCACACTTAGAGTAAAAACTTTTTTCTCACATTTAACCTTGACTTTCCCTCCTTCATTATCTAATCTAAACTTCCCCTCCTTCAGTTTGAACCCATTTCCCCTTGTCCTATCACTGCAGTTCCTAACACAGAGTCCCTCTCTGGCTCCTTGTAGGCCCTTCAGATATTGAAAAGTTGCTCTGAGGTCTCCACACAACCTTCTCTTCTCCAGGCTGAACAGCCCCAACTCCCTCAGCCTGTCCTCATAGGGGAGATGCTCCAGTGCTCTTAGCAACTTCGTGGCTTCCTCTAAACTTGCTCCAACAGTTCCACCCCCTCTCTTTTAAACTTTTAAGTTGAGAAGAAAGCAGACACCTTTTTTTTGCTGCTGCCATGGAAGTGTAATCCTGAAGTAAACCCAACAAAAGAATTTGGCACTTTAAGAAATCA